CTCTGCTCGGAGCTTTGTTCAGTTCTGTTCAGGAGCTCTGCTCGGAGCTCTGTTCTCTGTGCTGTCCCCCCTCAGTGCCCACCCCTCTCCTCCCAGCCAGGTGCCAGCCTGGGACATGCCAGGGGGACACTATGGCCCTACAGCCCCTCTGCCCCGTGCAGGATCCAGGTTTTCACCTCCAGGATCCKCCTCTGCTCCGGCGTGACGCGGCGCAGGCACTCCACCACCAGCCAGCTGCACTTGTTGTCCTGGATGTCGGTGCCCACCTTCCCCGTCAGCGCCGGGTCCCCGTAGCAGTCCAGGAAATCGTCCTTTGGGTGACAAAGGAATCACCTGAGTGCCACAGCCAGCGCCCGACGAGCACTGAGGGGCGAGGAGCAGCCTCATACCTGGATCTGAAAGAACTCTCCCATCTCCAGCAGGATGGYTTTGGCGTTCTCGTGCTCCTCCTGGCCGTCAATGCCAGCCTGAGGGGAGGGAAGGAATAAAGGGATAAAGCCCATCGAGCTGTTCCTCCTGAGACCCCTCCCGAGCCACTCCACCCATCTCACCATGTACATGGCTGCAGCTACAGGGAGGTAGAAGGAGTAAAACGCTGTTTTGTACTTCACAATCGCCTTGTACCTGTTGGTGGCAGAGGAACCAGCTCAGCYCCAAGGCTCTCCCCTCCACCCTCTGCAAATCAGGGCAGAGTGGACCAGCAGCAGCTCCTCCCAGAGCAGCCCCAGGCTCGGGTTTTGTCTGGCATGGCCAGGAAGGGACTGAGCTCTGCCCCTTCCCCTCCGTACCGCTGCTCGCTGAAGCGGCTCAGGTCCACCTGAGAAATGGGAGCGGTGATGAGGTCCAGGGTCTGCCCCAGCTCCGTCTGGTAGCCTGTCTGGAGAGGAAAGAAAGGATTTGTGGCTTCAATGTGTCCTTCCAGAACTTAAATGWCTTATAAAAAAGAGGGGGAGGATGTTTTACGGTAGCAGAAGTGACAGRATGAAGKGYGRTGGTTTTAAAYTGAAAGAGGAGAGATTTAGATGAGATATGAGAAGGAAATTTKTCCCTGTGAGGGTGGRRAGGCCCTGGCACCCACCCAGARAAGCCATGGCYRCCCCYGGATCCCTGGAAGTGTCCAAGGCCAGGCTGGACATTGGGGTTTGGAGCAACCTGGGATAGTGGAAAGGATGGAACAAGAYGATYTTCAAGRTCCCTYCCAAYCCAAACCARTCTGTGATTCCATGATTTATTCACACAGCCCCCAGGACAGWGGAAAGTGGAAGGGATGSAACAAGATRATCTTCAAGGTCCCTYCCAACCCAAACCAGTCTRTGATTYCAYRATTTATTCACACAGCCCCCAGGACAGTCCCATCACCACAGCACAGTCCCCAAGCTGTGTCAGCTCCTCTTTGAGTCCCAAGGATGGGCACGATGTCCAGGGACTTCAGTCACCCTCTGAGACCCCCGTGCTGTCCAACACCTGAAAGRACCCAGAGCCCAAAGAATGGGGAAGGGTCTGGGGGGCCGGGCTCACCTGCAGGAAGAGCTCCAGCAGGTTCAGGTAGTAGGGCTGCTTGCCACAGTARTGCCGGAGCAGCCGGTACACCGACGACTCCAGCAGAAAAGCGTCGTTGATGGCGTCCAGCCCGATGCCCTCCTGCACCAGGAAGGCAGGGAAATGTCACCTCCTGACTCCCAGGGGATCACCTCACCACCACCAACAGGCACCTCCTGAATGCTCTCACCTTCTTGTACCAGCAGGTCTGCCCCCGCCGGGTCAGCGACGCGTCCATGATGTCGTCAGCCACCAGGAAAAAGGCTTGGAACTGCGAGAGGATCGATTAGGGACGGGGGCTTTTCAGGGGGGGATCCCATCCACTCCCAGGCTCCTGTGGCTCACCAGCTCGATGCACCAGCCCACGGCCAGGGCGCAGCGGAGGCTCTCCGGATCCTGCTGAGCGGGGCTGGCCAGCTGCCGGAACGCGGCTACCACCGTCATCCCCCGGTTGCACTTYCCGCCCGGAGCGTTGTACTCCAGCACCTGCGGGAGGGGAGAGAGGTGGGTATTCCCGGCTCGGAGACCCCGGT